GCAGAAAGGCAAGAATATACAACAGGGGAAAGACAGTCTCTTCAATAAATGGTGCTGGGAAGACTAGACCGCTACATGTAAAAGAATGAAACTGGACCACTTTTTTACCATAAACAAAAATAGATTATGAAGCTAAATGTGAGGAGACACCAGGTAGCTCAGCTGGTTGAGCATCTGACTCTTGATTTTGGTTCAGGTCATGATCTCAAGATAGTGGGATTAGCCCCATTCTGGGTGTCGGGGGCGTGGGCATGCTCAGCAGGGAGTCTGCTTGAGATTCTCTCCTTCTGCCCCTCCCCCGCTCATTGGTTCTCTCTCTCTCCCCCTCTCCAACTCTAAAAAAACAAATAAATCTTTTTTTTTTTTTTTAAGGAACCTAATAACTGTGTGAGACCTGAAACTGTAAAACTTCTAGAAGAAAACACAAGCAGTAATCTCTTGAACATGGCCATGCCTTAGCAATATTTTTCTAGGTATGGCTCCTATAAGGCAAGGGCAACAAAAGCACAAATAAACTATTGGGACTATACCAAAAAATAACAGCTTTTGCATAGCAAATGAAACTATGAACAAAATGAAAAGGCAACCTACTGAATGAGAGAACATATTTGCAAATGATATATCTGACAGGGAGTTAATATCCAAAAATACATGAAGAACTTACACAACTCAACACCAAAAAATAATAATAATCTAACTTAAAAATGGGCAGAGAATCTGAATAGAAACGTCTACAAAGAAAACAAAGATGGCCAATAGATACATGAAAAGATGCTCAACATCACTCATCATCAAGGAAATGTAAATCAAAACCACAAGGAGATATCGACACCTATCAGAATGGCTAGTATCAAAAAGATAAGTAAGTGTTGGCAAGAATATAGAGAAAAAGGAACCCTTGTGAACTCTTGCTGGGAATGCAAATCGGTACAGACACTGTGGAAAACAGTATGGAAGTGCCTCAAAAAAATTAAAAACAAATACCATATGATCCAGTAATTCCACTACTATTTAGCCAAAGAAAACAAAAACACAAATTCAAAAAGATGTAATACCCCTATATTTAGTGTAGCATTAGCCAAGATATAGAAGCAACCCAAGTGTCCATTGAGAGATGAATGGATTGAGGCGTGTGTGTTTACACACAAACATACATACACACAATGGAATATTAGCCATAAGAAGGGATAAGATATTGCCATTTGCAACAACATGGATAGATCTAGAAGGCATTATGCTAACTGAAATAAAAGGAAGAAAAACCAGAAACAAACACGTTAGTACAGAGAACAAATTGATGGTTGCCAGAGGAAAAGAGAGTGGGAGGTACAGGCTTCCTGTTACAGAATGAGTAAGTCATGTGGATGAAAGGTACAGCATAGGGAAAATAGTCAGTGTGGTTGTAATAGTGTTGGATGGTGACATATGGTAGCCATATTTGTGGTGACCACAGCATAACATTTAGACTTGTTGAATCACTATGTTGTACACCTGTAACTAATGAAACATTGTGTGTCAACTATACTTCAATTAAGAAAAAAAAAAATGGTAGGATAGGCTGAGACAGTCTCACAATGAAACTCAGTCCTGGCAAAGTAACCCACCATCAAGAGGGATCTCACAAGTCGAATCTCTCCCTGGGGAGTAAGGGATTTAACTCCTTTTGTAGTGCTGCAGCTTTTTAAAGTCTGTACCTGAGAAATGAGTCCCCAAAACACCTAGCTTTGAAAACCCATGGGGCTCCTGTCCAAAAGACCCACAAGGCTATCAGAACCTGAGAAATAGTTTTGTTTTGTTTTTTGTTTTTTGTTTTTTTTAGAAATAGTTCTTAAAGGCTTATCCAGAATTACCCACCCTCAGGGCCTAGCAGAGAGACAGTGAACTAAAAAGCACCAAGTCTTCTTTTAAAAAAACAAAACAAAACAAAACAAAACAAAAAATACCACACCCTGTTTGCCTATCTTAAAGCTTCACCTAAGGGCTGGCACATCTAATTTAACGCATATCCAGGGATCTACTTAAATGCTTTACGAAACAGTTGCCTGTGGGTGCTATTTTTGTGCTCTTCCCTCTGCCTCATTCCAGGTCACCAGTATCTCCCAGAAAGGAGTTTGCGCATTTGTCTTGTGCCCTGTTTTTGCAGCTACCCTCCAGGGGAGGCTGCTTGGCTCTGCTGGCCAGCAGGCCTGAACTTTTGCAGGCTCCAGAGGACTATAACAAATTGAAAAGGAGTTCTTAACCAACTATACCACAGGGCAAAGAGGTATCAGACTGAAATTCCCACTCTCTCTATAAAAGCAGGTTATTACTGTATCTTTATAGCTGTGGCCTATGGGGTATGCTTTTATTTCAATACTTGTATGGGAGCTGACTATAATCCTGTCCAGAGACTGGGAAGGCTGGTGGCACCATCCTTATGCTCTCCATCTTCATGCTTTTCCTCCTCCTAGCCCCCGGTTGCAAGAAAGGAACTGCTTATATACTTTTTTTGGTGTCTCACCTTTTGTGTCTGCCACCCTGAGAAAACATTCCTTGATAGCTTGACCCTGGTATCCAGCAGGGCTTGTGTTCACGGAGTCAATGGGATGGTAGCAAACAAAGAAATGCTTCTTAATTGGCTATCATTCCCAGGGCAGGCTGGGGCTTGGTGCAGAGAAAGCAGACAGCACCTGTCTCCTAGTCTTCCCCTGAAAGAGTTCTATTTGCATATTTTAAACTCTGCTGCCTGAGGGTCTTGCTTTCAATCAGCCTGAATCTAGGCTCTGACTGAGATCCTCCCTTTGGGACACTCACAAGTCTTAGAGCACCCTCAATTATTTGAAGCCACTAGGAATAAAATAGACTGCTGGGACAAACGCAAAGCTCTGAGATACAGTAAAAAGCCAGAGCAAGACTGAGTAATAATTTCATCTCCCGCATGATCCCGCTCCTTCAGGCTGGGAAATTTGGCTTTTTTTTCTAATGCATAACAACCAACACAGAGAATGAAAGAAAATGCAGAAACAAAGGAACATATTCCAAATGAAAGAACAAGTAAAATCTCAGAAAAAGACCTTAATGAAATAGAGGTAAGGAATTTACCTAAAGATGCTCACTAAGCTCAGGAGAAAATGGACAAACAAAGTGAGAATTTCAACAAAAAGAAAATATAAGTACCACATATTAAGTCATAGAGCAGAAGAAATAGTAATTGAACTGAAAAATGCACTGGAGGGGTTCAACAACAGACTAGATAAGCAGAAGAAAGGATCAGTAAACTCCAAGACAAGGCATCAGAACTCCTCCAATTAGACCAGCAAAAAGCAAAAAGAACAAGAGTGGGGCGCCTGGGTCGCTCAGTCAGTTGGGCGTCTGCCTTCGGCTCAGGTTATGATCCCAGGTTGCTGGGATCGAGTCCCACATCGGGCTCTCTCCTCCACGGAGAGCCTGCTTCTCCCTCTCCCCCTGCCTGCTGTTCTACCTGCTTGTGCTCTCTGTCAAATAAATAAATAAAATCTTTAAAAAAAAAAAAAAGAACAAGAGTGAAGAGAGCTTTGGGAACTTATGGGACAACAGCAAGCAGACTAACATTCACATTATAAGGGTCCCCAGAAGGAGAAGAGAGAGAGAGAAAAAGTAGGAAACTTATTTGACAAAGTAATGGATGAAAACTCTCCTAACCTAGGGAAGGAAACAGACCCGCAGATCCAAGAAGTCCAGAGAGTTTTGAAAGGACGATACACCATGATTGAGTAGGATTTATTCCAGGGATGCGAAGATGGTTCAACATCCACCTATCAGGGTTACACACTATATTATCAAAGGACGGATAAACACTATATGATCATTTAAATTGATGCAGAAAGAAATTCAACATTTGAATTTGACGAAATTCAACATGTACAATAAAAATTCTGGATAGGTTGGATATAGAAAAAACATACCTCCACATAATAAAGGGCATATATAATAGGCCCACAACTAACATCATACACAGTTGTGAAAAAGCAGAAAACTTTTCCTCTAAGACCAGAAACAAGACAAAGATTCCCACCTTACTGCTTTTATTTGACATAATACTGCAAGTCTTAGAGCTATTAGGCAAGAAAAAGAAAGAAAAGACACCCAAATTGGAAAGGAAGAAGTAAAACTGTCATTAATGGCAGACGACATGACACTATATAGAGAAAACCCTTAAGCCTATACTAAAATAAAACAAACCCAAAAAAACTGTCAAAACTGGTAAATGAATTCAGTAATGTTGCAGAATATAATATCAATATATAAAAACGTGTTGCATTTCTATACACCAATAACCATAAGTGAAATTAAGAAAACAATCCTATTTCTAATTTTACCAAAAGAATAAAATACCTAAGAATGAATTTAACCAAGGTGAAAGGCCATACATGGAAAACTAGAAGACACTGATGAAGGAAACGCAAGAAGATACAAATAATGGAGAGATATTCCATGCTGATGGATTAGAAGGATCAATATTGTAAAAATGTCCATACAATCTAAAACAATCTATATATTCAATGCAATCCTTATTAATATCAGTGGTATTTTTATAGATCTAGAATAATCCCAAGATTGATATGCAAACACAAAAGAATTCTGAAGAGCCAAAGCAATCTTAATTTTTTAAATTTTTTTTTTTTTTTTACTGTGTTATGTTAGTCACCATACAGTAATCTTAATTAAGAAAGAACAACAAAGCCAGAGGCATCACACTTCTACATTACAAAGCTCTAGCCATAAAAAAGATACTGGCATAAAAACAGATACGTACACCCAAGAACATAATAGAGATCCCAGAAATAATTTCACACATACATGGTTGGTCAATTTACAACAGTGGAGCCATGAATATACAATGTGGAATGGACAGTTTCTTCAGCAGATGGTACTGGGAAAACTGGACAGCCACATTAAAAAAAAATGAAACTGGACCACTGTTTTATACCATACACAAAAATGAACTCAAAGTGGATTAAACCTTGAACATAAGAACTAAAATGATGAAATCCCTAGAAGAAAACAGGTAAGCTGCATGACATCAGTCCTAGTGATTTTTTTTCAATTTGACACCAAAAGGATAACAACAAAAGCCAAAATAAACAGTGGGTCGGCAAAACGAGAAGGCATCTGCACAGCAAAGGAAACCATCAACAAAATGAAAAAGCAACCTACTGAGTGGGAGAAAATATTTGCCAATGTTTATCTGATAAGCGGTTAATATCCAAATACATAAAGAATTCACGTAACTCAGTAGCAAATAAAGAACCTGATTAAAAAATGGGCAGAGAATCTGAATAGAGATTTTTCTCTAGAAGACATTCAGATGGCCAGCAGGTCCATAAGACGGTGCCCAGAATCGCTCCTCATCAGGGAAATGCAAATCTAAACCAAATGTTATGCCACCCCACACCCATCAGAGCTGCTAGCATCAGACAAGAAATACCATGTTGTCGAGGATGTGGAGTGGAGACTGTTGGTGGTAATGGAAATTGCTGCAGCCACTGTGGAAAACCTTATGGAGGTTCCTCAACAACTAAAAATAGAATTCCCAGAAGATCCAGCAATTCCACTTCTGAGTATTCATCCAAAGAAAATGAAAACCCCCAAAAAGAATTTGCACCCCCCGCATGTACATTGCAGCATTATTTACAATGGCCAAGATACGGAAGCCACCTGTGTGCCCATCAGTGGATGAATGTATAAAGAAAAATATATTTTTTCAGCCATAAAAAAGGAAATCCCACCATTTGCAACAACACAGATAGACTTCAAAGGCAGTATGCTAAGCAAACAAGTCAGAGAACGGTACCATATGATCTTCCTTCGATGTGGAATTCAAACAAACAAACTCACAGATACAGAGAACAGACGGGTGGTTGCCAGGATTGGGGGCTGGGGAGTAAAGCTGTTCAAAAGGTGTACTTTCAGTTGTAAAATACATAAGCCCTGGAGAAGTGACACAGCTTAATGACTGGTTAGCAATACTGGGTTGTATATTGAACACTACTAAGAGAGCAGATTAAGAGTTTGCATTACAAGAAAAAAAAATTTTTTTTTGCTTAAAATCAGGAATGACTGGCAGAGGACAAACACTTGGTGGTTGTGCAGAGATTTTCACCACTGTGCTTGTTTAACAGAAAACTACCTGTGCCATCTTATTTTTGACTCCATCATGAAGGCAGGGGTTCAGATAAACCCTAAATTATGCTGCTTTGAAGAGAGGATGCACCTGATGTTGGTCACCAGAGGGGGGCTCAGGTGCACTGTGGAAGCGCTAGCTGGGCAGGTGGGGTTCCAGCTGGACCGGTACTAGCTGGTGGTAATGGCAAGGGCTGGGGAAGGGGTTGCAGGAATGTGGCCGTAAGCCTCCCCCCACCACAGCCAGCTCCCATTTTGAGCTCATCAGGGATGTGTGGTGATTAACTAGGTTTATTATGGTGATCATTTCACAATATGTAATATTAGTACAACACAATTATTCTATTTTTTATGTATCAACTATATTTCAATAAGAATTATTTTAATCATTTCTATTTAAAATAATTTTTAGGGACATTTGGGTGGTTCATTCGGTTAAGCATCTGCCTTTGGCTCGGGTCATGATCTCAGGGTCCTGGGATCAAGCCCCACATTGGGCTCCTGCTCAGCAGGGAGCCTGCTTCTCCCTCTCCCAGTGCCTCTCCCTCACCCCTGCTCATGCTCTCTAATAAAATCTTTAAAAAGTAAGTTTTTAAACAACTTTAAATGTTTTAAATAATTTCAAAGACAACATAGGCTATATGAAAACTTCCCAGAGGACAGTGAAATGGGAAGCAAGATGCGTTTTTCTTCAGAACAAAAATCTGATTTTTCATGTGAACCCATTGCCCAATTTCCTTGAGTTGCCCCTAATGTTTTTGTTAGTCGCTGGATTAAAATTTCGATTGCTGTCTCATTACTCAGCACACATTGCCACCCTGGTTGTATTTGCACCAAGGACACAAGAGGAAATGACCCTTCTCAGAAAGAGGAGGTGTGAGAATGAGGGAGAATTCCAGTGTGACACTGCCCAGGGTTACTGGGTCAGGGCAGAGTCCCCTTCACCAGGGGTTCTACCCATGTGCCAGGAAATGAGCCTACTGACACCCAGATCACTGAAAAAGATGCCTCAGCTCAGACTTCTTCACGTTCCTAACTGCAAACTGCCTAGGCTCAAAGTTGCCGGAGAAGCTTCCGGGGTGACTGCCACATGTCACTGCTTTGTGATTTCAGAGACATAACCAGATCTCCCTGGCTAGTTGCCTGAAGCAGATTCATTTATCTAATGCTATTCTGTTCCATAAATAGCAAAGGGAGGACCCACTGGCTTCCAGTGAGTCAGCAGCCTGCACTGCTTCAGAGAGAAAGGCAGGGGACTCCAAGGCACATGGCTGCTGTCACAGAAGGCAACCCTGAGAGCCCGAGGCCAGGCGGAGAGAGGCTTCCCTGGAAGGAGGGCCCACAGGGTGACGTTTTACTCTGGAAAGGTCACCTGGGGAAGAGTTTCCTGGAACATCTAAATGATTCATTCTCAGCCTGTAGTGTTCCTGGTCAAGTTAGACAAGCAGACAAGAGAGGCCAGAAACAGAGGCACAGCCAGGAGAAGGGCACAGAAAGAAGCTCCATCCAGTGTCTATGTGAGTTGTCTTTAAGATAGACCAGATGCTGCTTTTGAAGCTGACTTGTCTGCAGAGCTGGAGAATACCACCAGATCTGCTGCAAACACATCCCCCATGCGCTCAGCGTGGGAGCTGGCTTGGAGGGAGGGGTGGAGGCTCGCAGCCACCCTCCTGCAACTCCCTGCCCCCGACCCTGCCTTTACCACCAGCCAGTGCTGGTCCAGCTGGAACCCCACCAGCCCAGGTGCACCGTGGAAGCACTAGTAACCAACATGGGGTGTGTCCTGTCTTCAAGGCAGGTAATTTCTGGTTTATCTGAGCTCCTGCCTTCATGATGGAGCCAAAATGAGAGAGCACAGGTAGCTTTCCATTGAACAAGCACAGTGGTGAAAATCCCTGCAAAACCACCAGTTGTTTGTCCTGTGCCAGTCGTTCCTGGTTTAAATCAAATTTAATACCATTCTGCCCCCTGATAGTGGGAAGATTTAGATGTCCCCTAGCAGTTTCTTTCATGGCAACCTTGGCCTTTTGATGCTCATGAAGCAATCCTCATGGAGGCTTCCTTTTTCAGGCAGATTCAGAATGCAAACACGCTTACCAAATGCATGCTCTTTGAGTAAGGCTCCAAAGATGGAAGTTATAGGGTCATGTGCATTTACCAAATAAGAAATACATCGGGGCACCCAGGGGAATGGGCCCTTGGGGAAAATCCTAGATTCACATCTTGATTAATGTTTATTAACATTGCCTCTCCCCTCCCAAAGCATCCTCCATACCGGAGGACTTCCTTCTCTCAAGAGCGTCATGACTCATCTTTTCTTGTTTAGCCAAATTCAAATGATTGAGACCATCAGGAGAACCACACTGCAACCACTTACAGGCTGTACCAAAAGCATTTTGCACCATGTTCTTCAAAGATCTATAACTTGGATCATCAAAAATCTCCATAAGTGCTACTTTCACCTTTGGCTCCTTAAGCCACCCTTGGCAGAACGACTTGGGAATTTCAGTGGGCTGTACAGAAAGGGCAAGACTAGAATCATCAGGCCATGGGGACACACACCACAGAATATAGAGACTGAGATTTAAGGAAAGGATCAGGAGGTTGGATAGATAATCCATACAAAGACCTGAATATCTGAATTGATGTTTGGGAAGACACCCGGGCAAGCAACTGGGAATGTGGCTTGTCACACATCTTACAAAGTGAAAGACTACAGCAGTATCTTCTAAAATGCTTTCTACCACCAGTCTTCCTCCCCGTCCAGTCCTTTCTCCTTTATGCCGCAGCCACAGACTTGGCCGTGTCACCATCTTGCTTTCAAGTCTTCTGGTTTTAAAGTGCAGGGGACTTACACGACCACATGATTTGGGGCCCACCCGAGACTCCTCGCACCTCTCAGGGCTTATCTCTTGCTTTGGTTCACACCTACAGCCTCTGATCAGGCTGCTTTTGTGCATGAGTGTGCCTCCATGCCACACTGGTCACCCTCCAGTTGGAGGGCACCTCGTGCACCTCCAAGATTTTGTCCAGGTATGACTGCCCAAGGCAAGCTTTTTGTACCCTCTCCCCATGCTGCCTCATCTCTCAGCAGAACCAGCCTCTTCCTCCTTTGTGCCCAAACATGGTCCATATGTTGTCACTCACTTTCCCATCATGGCTCACTTTATCATCCTTGAACACTGTGTCGTTCATTGTTAGGGGCTTAGATTATGTCTTGTTCAAAATTATCTGTGCCTGGCCCTCCGGTCCTTTTTCTCACCAAAGATCCCATAAAAAAATGATAACTAGAATATTTCCGTGATGCAAGAGGCTGCTGGTAAAAGAGCAGTATCTTGGCTCACCTTTAATAACCCATTCAAAACTTAAACACACCCATGGAGAAGACCCTCAGTTAGTGTTCAGATTGAAAGAATGAATAGACTGTATAAGATTAGGAGAGATCTGCAAGTAGGCAAAGACCTTAGAAATCAATGGAAGGAATGGTCATACATAAATAACAGAATTAAGACTGCAACATAAGGATGAGTATGTAGATTTCTTACCTAGTCAGGGTGTCCTTGACCAGAACAGCTCTAGACTCCATTCCCAACGTGAACTTCATCACTGCTTTTCTTCACACACCTTGACTGTAATCAAGCCAGCTGCTTGTCAGCCCCACACCCCCTCCACGTTTGTTGCCTACCTGCTAACAGTCAGCCTGTTTGGATTGGCCTCTCTCCAGCACAGCCTCCTCTCCACCGATGCCATCCAGCAGGAGGCCAGCTGTGCATCTCAAAGGCTCACCTGAGGGGCCACCTCCTTGGGAGACTCCTCTGCTCCCACGGGGCAGATGTGCCTGGTCTCTCCTTCACAGCCCTGTCGTTGTGCCTGTCATCAGGTTCTTGCCCAAGCGATGTCTTTCTCTTATCTTTCAATGAAATGTAAGCTTCATGTGGTCAAACACGGAGTCTCATTTTAGTTTCCCCTCCTTCACCTGTAATAGTTACAAAATAAATGTATTTTATATTCAGCCGTATCTCTCAAGCAGCTGTGGGAAAACCTAGTTCCCATTTAATAGGGAAGCAAGGGTGTCTATTGTATAGGGAAGGGCCTGCTGGGTGCCAGGAAAGATCCCTGATAGTAAACCATACTCAGGACCCTTATTTCAAGGATTCATAAATTAGATGATCCATACTAAATAGGGCCAGAGCCACTGTCCACAAATCCATTATTTAATGGAAACTTTGCATAGTAAGTTTGGCCTGCAGGCTTGGGCACTGAGCTAGACCAGATGGAGACTCTGTCTCGTATAGAGGTCCCCAGTTCCACAGAACAGAAGCAGGTCCCTGGTGTGCTGCAGGGAGGGTGGAGGGAAGAGCAGAACAGGGTGAGGTGTTAGAGGGAGACAATGCTTGTCCAAGCCCTAAGGGGCTTCGGTGGGGTCTGGCAGTAGTCAGCAGCACCCCCTCCTGTCCAGTCCCTGCAGGGCAGAGTATATGGAAGAGTCTGGTTCCAGATAGCAAGAGAATAAATGCTAATTTCCTGATAGCCCCTCACTCATCAAAGATTTACCACCCTGAGCCATGGGCCACTACCCCTACGATATAGCCTGGCAATCTCACACATACTGGAATGGAGTCCCATGTTGACCTGACTTAAGACTGTTATACCCTACCCTGATCGCCCCCATCTTCCCATCAGTTACATTCAAACAGTGCTGCTTTGGTTGGAGAGAGACACACCCTTCAAATGTTCTTTTTGTATTTACTGGTATCCTCTTCTCAGCATCCTCACGCTTGGCCAGGCCCTCATGCTTGTGGCAAATCCGTGCAGCAAGCAGCCCTCCCTATGTCCTTGAAATAACAATAGCCCATATGGCAGCCAAGGCCTGCATCTCCTCCCAGGTTCAGAGAAGTCTCCTCAGGCTGAGAACTCGGGTCCACACTTACCAAACTCTGCTACCTCTTGGCTTTAGAGTTTGGAGAATGAGATGTCTGGTAACGTTTGATTGCCACGACACTGCTGGAAGTTTCGAGTTCACATCCTCCTCGCCAGTGACCCCGGTTCTACACTAACATGACGTGCCCTCTTCCCCTACAGGCGCAAAGGGTGCAGAAGAGGTTTCCTAAGGCTGGCAGGAGCCACCACGCGTCAGAGCAAAAACCTCCTTCCATGCCTTCCCCGAGCACCACCGCCCCAAGCCAGACGCCTGGCAGCAGCCAGCAGCCCCTACCGGACAGCTCACATCCGGGCCCTGGCCAGATAGGCCGGCCGACCGGGCATCCGCAAGAAGCTGCCAGACAAGCCGGCAGCCCTCCCAGCCTCCCCTGGTCCTTCCAGAGAAGCAAGTCCTTGTTTTGTCTGCCCACAGGAGACTCCTTCCCGGGCTCCTCAGCTCTACCACAGTGGTTTTCAAACACCGATGGCCCAGGGCACAGGGCGACGGAGGGGAGGCACAGCCACCTCCTCTCCATCGATGACCTGGAGGGGGCCCAGGAGACCGACGTGGACACGGGCCTCCGGCTGTCCTCCTCAGACCTCTCTGTGGTCTCTGCCTATTCGGCGCCCAGTCGGTTCTGCAGCACCGTGGAAGCAACCCTCCCGCCTGAAAGGTGCAGCAGCCACTGGTCAAAGCCTAAGGGTTTCAGAGAAGGACCGCTGCCCACCGGGAGTGGGGGGGCCACAGAGACCGCCTGGGCTTCCCTCCCTTTCTTCACCAAAGGGCCTTGCAGCTCCTCAGCCCCAGCTGCCACTGCTGCTCCCCCCACTCATGGCCCCTCCTCACGCACAGAGTCCTCCCCAGAGCCTCCCTGTGATGCTCCCCGCACTGAGCAGACGGCGGGCAGAGACGCCCCACCGCCCCCAGTGCTGGCCGGACCCATGGACAATGATATGGAGGAATTCTACATCTGAACACCCTCTGCTCTTGTGTTCTAGACACACAGACTCAGGTCCTACTGCCCCACTGGGGTCTGCACACCACCCGTGCGTGCGCTCAGCCCGCTCCCCCAGGTCTGTTGGAAATCCATCCGTCTCAAGGGCTTACTAGCACAGGTGCCACACCACCCATTCTTACCTGAGAGGTGGCACATTTTAAAGACTCGCTGGAAAAATGCTCGCATTTTTATGCAAATAAATTCTCAAGCTTAAGTTGTAAAATTTTTTTCGAATACCCAATTCCTTTTGAGATATGGTTTAGTGCACTTAATACAATTTAAATGCCTCATATCATTATTTGAAATGAAAAGAAAACCTAGTCAGCCGGAGCTGATTTGGCAATTTTTCATACTGTGAAGGAAAAACAATTAAAGCCAAAATGTTGAATATGGGAAAGCTACTAAGTGACCTGTATGAGAGATTAGTGCACAATAACATAACGTACGGCTTACTGGATTCTGCATACATATTTGCATCACCAGGCAACGGTGGCCCTAAGAATTTCCAGGTAGGGCTGATACAGTGTGAAAAGTCAGCTTGATAAAACAGCGAAACACCTATCAGGCTATGGTAATGCCTCGCTGTGATGCCATGCGCATCTGAAAATCTGAATTTATGCAAAAGTAGCTAATATACTTTATAAGGATTTATCCTGAGTAACAGACTCATGGTGGAATCAAAATATGATCTGAGTTCCAAAAACCAGATTTGCATCCACTTTTCAACAACACCTCCCTGTAACAAGTGGAGTCTACAGAGGACCACTCCACTCCCGGGATTTAGGTGGCTCCCTGAGGAACCGCTCACTGGAGTCACAGGATAACAGGATATCGGTCATAGGGGTAGCTAGGCTTAAGACAGTTCCATTTTAAAAACCACCATCCAAGGGCTATGTATATATGTATGTACCTAAAGGACAGGAGCCACACTTTATACTGCTCTCTCCAGTAAACATGTATTGCCACACACCCTGATCTTTCTGTTTCTAAACAATCTGCAACCTTTTTCAGTGGCACTTTGATGGCACAAATTAATAAAAGCCCCCATCTTCTCCAAATGGGAAGTTTTATACAAAACGTTGTCCTGGACAGACCCTGTTTCATCACCAGCCTTCCACAAGTGCATAGAAGCTTTAATTAAAGCTGGCGCTCTAGCCCAACCTTAACCTTTTCTGCTTCTGTCGAAGCATGAATGATATTTAAATAGCACCTCTCTCCCACTCAGTGAGGGCATGTTTACAGCCCCAACCTCAGCAGTGCCGAGCACGGGGCACGGTGACACCGAGCTGTTCCTGCCTGCTACCTCCCTTTGGGAAACAGGAGCATGGACTTCCTGGCCTTGCTCACTAGTCTGGTGTTCCTTGCCTCCATGACTCCTGGCCCAGCTTTCCCCTCTCTGAAAGCTCCCACACCAGTCTGGACACGGCCTCAGGATCCATTTCAACACTGCTCTCCAGGCAGCCCTGAAGCCTTTGCCATTCCTACAGTGAGAACCTTAGATCCTGCCCCCGACATCCAAATGATAAGATTCTCCATGTTAAATAAATAAAAACATGGTCTCTTCTACTTTTAGGCCAGGAGCAAACAAACTTTCTAGAAAGGGCTAGATAACAAACGTGGTAGGTTTTGCCAGCCATTTTGGTTTCTGTTGCAATGACCCCGCCCTGTCCTCCGAGCGTGGAAACAGCCAGGGGAGATGTGTGAGTGAGCGGGAGTGGCTGGGTTCCAATCAAATCTTATTTACGGGAACAGACGGAACCCTGTGCTGGAGAGAGGCTGATCTAGGACCTCGGGTGCAGCCAGCAATAAGGGATCTGCGTCTGCAGCCTTCTGCTGCCACGGGGTCCTCCTGTCATGCCGGTGACCCCAGAAGCACAGGGCTCAGGGCCTTGAGGGGCCTCTTTGTGCAGAGATGCTTCTTAGTAAGCCACCAGCCATCCACCTCCCATCCGGAAATGTGACTCAAGGCAGCAGGGGGATGAAAAACAACAGGTTCGTGTTAGGAAGGAGAAAAATAACTCCAAGGTGTTGACACCAGCTCGTGAGCAGCAAAGGTCAGTGAGGCATAAACAAATGGACCACCGTCCAGTGATGGCTCCTCCTGGTGTGCCCCATCCGTGCCCTTAGTTTAGTTTAATATACTTGCATGCACCCCTAGGATTACTTCGGAACCCAAACCCTGATGCTCTCCGGTCCCACCTCTTCTTAGTAACCCACCCTCAGCACAGTCCAGTCTACCAACTGAGGGGCCCCAAAGGATGTCGGCGACACCATTCAAAAGCAGGAAATGCAAGATGCCCCCAGAACACAAGGGGAGAATGGAGGAACCCAGCACAGACCACACTCAGGCATTCCCCCGCCTCCCTCCCAGGCTATGATCGGGAGCGGCAGTACCCTCTGTGCAGAGGAATGTCACAGAGACATACTGACAAAAGCCTGGCTTCCACTTCTGGCCACTAGCATTTTCCTCATCCAGGAAGGCTCCTGACACCCACTAGGGGATCCTGACTCTTGGACTGCTGTTGTTGTAATGGAGGCTGGCCTACTGTGAATGCTCAATAAATGTGTTCAATTAAAAAACATGAAGCTGTCTCAAATTATTTCTCTCCTGGACGGGTTCTGAGGTATAGGAAATCTAGATTTTAGCCCTAGGTTTTTGGGGGGTTTTTTGTTGTGGTTTTTGGGTTTTTTTGTTTTTTGTCATTTAATGGAACCCAGTCTCTTATCTTGACCTTACACCTACCCCCAGCATGGCCCAGGGGAGGGGGGAGGGGAAGGGGCCTACTAAGTGTCCCAGTCTAGTTCACAACCCATCCCTTGTCTCTTCTCCAAAAAGACTTCCCAAGTTACTGCTCACGATCCCATCATGGTGCCTAAGCACCACCAAGGAGCCACTATAAAGATGAGATATTTCTTAGACAGTTCCTAACTGACCTACCAAGCCCTGCAAAAGTCATCTCGGGTCACCCATGGCGGTGGAGTGGTGAGCTACCAAAGATACCTGTATTCTGGGAGCACGGACATGTGGTTGTACAAAATGGGTTATAGTGCTGGGTGTCCCTTGAGCCCTGTGACCCAACGCAAGGGAATAGTTACATGGACGCCAGTTGGACTACACTGTCTAGTGTGTTCCAGGTGAGACCAAATGTTTACTTTTACTGGGAAGACCTCTGAACCCACAGCTGATATCGTCAGTCCGCCTAATTTAGGAGCCATGCAGGAGAAATCTATCCTCCTCCAGGGCTTTCTGTAGATGAATGAATTCCCCTATTCATCAGGTAAGATACACCTAAGTAGACTCAGAATTCCTGGAAGAGACTTTTGAGGGTAAATAAAACTAACTGTGGAGAGCTTCTGCCTCCCAAACCCCCAGATGGACATGACCCAGTTATGGTCAATGATCTCATGTCTGCATTTCAGGAGAGCAGTGGGAACAGCCCAATGGTCTTCCTCCCCCTCCCTGCCCACCACATTGCTCCGTGTTCCTGGTCTGAACATAAATGTCTCCTAGGATTTATAGGATTCTGTTTCTCTTTAATTCTCTGGAAATACACTTGATCAGATCCGGCAGAGGTTTGAGAAAATAACATGAGAAATTGACATCACATTATAAAAATGGGTTCATGAAGGGTAAAGAAGCTGAATTTATATATTTTTATATAATCACTCTTCCAACTTTCACTGAAGGCTTTTCTCTAATCTTTGGGAACAGAAGTCCAAACACAAAATGTCTTTAAATCCCATCAGATGAAGAACAGAAGCAAACCTTAATGGTAATATCGGCACACTTGATTCATTTTAACAACTTCTGTTTTAGAGATGTTATAACTATTATCCAGTTATGTGCTCAGAATTAGGATCAATATATCCATTCAAAACAAAAGTAACCAGAGTATTTGGTGAAGCTGAAAAGGCCCCTTCTCTGTGCCCTTACGACATGCTCCCTAATATCTCCATCTGTGATGAGGGTCCCACCTCCTGTTGCCTAAGATGGCATAGAAAAAATATTTCCACACGTGGGGCACAGCCCCTAACTGGCGTGGTCTGGGTAAGAATCATCACAACCACCCCATCTGACACATTTGTCTTGTAAGTCGAATGAACGAAGCCAGCCAGGCTTCCTTAGGTCAGCCCTGCCCAATTTCCAGAACAAAACCCAGAGCCTTTTGGGCAGGAACAGCTCTACTTGTTCATGGCACTGTCCAAAACAGGGCCTGGTGAATAGACTACTTTGGGGCCAAGTCACGGTGCAGGCCAGCTGTGGGGAGGCTTTGGTGCCACCTGGTGGCCACCCAAGCCCGAAGGGTCAAGCAGCCCCCCTTTTCCTGGAGACGGCTCCACCCAGATGAACAAAAAGGAACCATTTCTCTTCCATTTATTACTCTGCATTTAATTATTTCTACAAGGTACTGAGGCAACTGAAATCACAAGGACTTAAGACAATGAAGATAGAAGTAGAAAATCAGGGCTAGGGAGAAAAGAGTCCATAAATACACCAACGATAAAGAAAAACCTAACTGCTGGGGAAGAACTTCCCAAGAGCCAAAGCAAAAAGGGAAACATGAATAACGCAGTTCCCCGATGGGATTTGAAGATCTAGCGATATTGTCTTATCCTCATTGTTAACTTAACATTGTCTCAAGGTTATTCCTCAATGGGAACCACGTTTTTCTTAGCACAGTTTCTAAAATTACTTTCTCAGAAGGGGATTTCCATGAGGGATTTTGTCTCAAAGGTTACTGGGTTTGGTCCAAGAGGATAGCTTTCTTGATGGAAGGCTGGAATTTATAAGACCTGGAGGAGTGGGCACGGCTCAGGCTTCAGGTGAACCTCCCTAAACCTCCCCAGCCACATTGTGGGGAGACGGAAATTTGGCCCTCGGTGGAAAGTCTAAAGGCTGGCTTCCTCCGGTCTCCTGAGACCCTATCTGTAGTTTGGCAAGTGGAGGGTGAGGGTGAGGCTGACATCCTCCTGAGAGACCAGAGGCCCCCACCCCCAGTTTCAGCCTGCAAGCCTAGAGTCTCCCCATCTCCTGAGCCCCTCTGCAACCTCACCCTTGCCTTGTGGTCCCAAAATCCACTCCATTCCCTAACCTCTCCCTGTTGAGAGAGGCTTCCGGCACAGAGAAGCCCTCCCACATAACTTATAAATCCCCTCAGCACCCCTCCCTGAGCTTCTGGAGAGCCCATAGGGATTCAGGTCCCCGCACCACACCTTCTTCGTTGCTCTGCGTGGATCGGCTTGTCATGCACCAAGCACTTAGTGAGTTCCACTGCACGTCAGGCTGGTGCTGGGGACCCAGGACTGAACGGCTTCACTCGCTCTGTGAACCAAGGGCAAGTTATTTCACTTCCCTGAGACCCCATTAGATCATTTGTAAGACACAGACAAGAATATCTACCTTGGAGGATAATGAGACTTAAATTGTGTCATTTGCATGAAAGCCTCCCGGGCTACCTACGACATAGAGGCTGTGGAACCAAGGCTGAGGTTCTCTCCCTCCCCTCAGTCTGCAAAGGGGCACCCGCTCTGCCCGCCAGGCTCCCCACGATCCTCGGTGGCAGCGAACACAAACAAGGGCCGCCTTCCAGGTGCTTCTCACAACACAGATTCTCCTTGTGCCTCTGGACACCGTGTCTCCAGACAGAATTCCACCCGATAGGAAACCATCTTTCTATCATCACATGCTCAGCCTCCTGGCTCATCTCCTTCCTCCATTTAAAGCCACTGCCACAAAGCCAGACCTGTGCCTTTACCACCCAACTCCCTTCCCTAAGTCCCTCAAGCCTGTGAAACCCATTCTGCCTTCCCGCCTCCTCTCTGCTTGGGGTTCCAGATTGGCTGTTCCACAGCTGACCACTGCACCCTGGGCCTGTGTGGCATCTACATGCTCCACTGTCCCCTCGTCGCAGTCCTAGTCACCCCGCGGTTGCTGCCTCACCCCTCCATGGAGGCTCACCCCTTCCACTCCACCATCCTTGCTACTTGGCCAACCTCCATGCAACTTAGACACCTGCTCTGACTTCCCAAATGCCCTTACCCCGCCTGAGTCTGCACTACTTTCAGCAGCGAGCTCACCCCCGCCATCCAGCCAAGACCAGAGCCACCCACCACCCCCTCAGCCTCCCTCCCTATCCCATAAGATGTGTCCAACTCCAAGGAGGGAAGACACAAGA